TGTCCCTGGCAACGGCCCTTCTCAAATGATGAGGGCGGTAGCAAGATGTGGAGCCAACTTTCAACAAGAAAGGGCAAATGCCGTGGACACGACCTCACTGAGGATCCAGAACACCCTGAAGAAGTCGCTGGGGAAGAATGGAGACAACGTCGGCACGTCCTTCAGCTGCCATTTGGTTTGTGCAGTTGCAGCATCGGAGCCATTCAAGGCATTCAAAGGTGTCTTCCTCTGGATCGGACAAGCCTTGTAAATCGTGAGGGTGCAACACAGCGCCACCATTTGCGGTAGCTTTGTGCAGTGTTGTTTTGTTACAATTTTGCCCGTGTCTGCCTTCTCTGGCTTGCCTGCCAATGAAAATGCCGGCATGTAATCAGTGTGCTTGTATCCTGCGGCGCAACGTATTGGACTATGATCCGGCGCCTAGATATTCATGTCCGGGAAGGAGTGTCTTCATACAAGGGAGACCGCCCTGAGCGATAGATTTAGGAATCCAGGGTCTATGACTCGTTCATCCAACCCCGAACCTCAGAGAAGCTGGAGAGCCGGAGCCAGGTCGAGCAGCCACCAGAGCAGCATGAGCCACCATAGTGTCCTCAGCGACAAGAACTGAGCTCACGAGGCCCGGGCCCGGGATCAGTTCCAGGTCGATCTCGTGCGTGCATGTCTCTGGCTGCGCTCGTGTCAAGATCGGTGTATGGTTGTGGCTGGGGAGGTTCCCAATAATCAGAGTTTCAGCTGTTCTCGTTCTTGGAGTGCCAGCGAGGGCTGGGTAATTCCGGCAGAGTTGAGCTCACAGCTTCCAAGGTGTGATGTTTGAGGTCGAAGTTGGGCCGAAATCTGTGCAAACCCAGAAGTGTGAGCCCCGACATGCCGCGACATTTGCTGCGATGAAAGGTGCGGCATTACGACTGAGTTCTGCATGCAACTTGCGCATCGCAAGTTCGCAATGTGCATGAGACGGCGTTTTAGTGCTTTTTGAGGTTCGGGGCTCAAGGAGGGCTTCCGGTTGCTGAGCTGGAGTTTCGGGGTTCCTCCTCCTCCTATAACTGCTGCTGCTACTGCTGCTACTGCCACTGCTACGACTACAGCTGCAGCTGCAGCTTCAACTACAATTAGAACATCTTAATTTCCCAGAGCAATCATGATGAACATAGTTGATAAAACTATTGGGTTTCATTGCAAAAAGCACTCCGGCCCTAGACCAAGATGATGCTTCACCGGTAGACTTACATGATCTAGCATGCTGGGGACAGAGACGGTATTCGTGTCATAGGAGTCGCTGCAAGCGCTTTTTCGTTCACCATCATACCCTGGCTCGTGCATTTCCCGGACGCTCCAGGCGCCAGGAATTAGTTATTTTGGCTTTCTGAACTTTCAGGGGGTCGCAGATCAGGGACTTCCAAGAGCTTTCTGTGAGGGATAGGGTTATGGATGATCAAAGATGATAGATGCCGTGAAGTACGTCAGTCCCCCCAAAATCTTCGATCAGATCTGTCCAAAGCTTGGAAGTTCCGGTGTAAAGGCCTTGCAGGTACGTCCTGGCAAACGGCAGGGCGGTCACGGCCACCCCCAAAGGCATGGGCTTGTCGAAGATTGGCGAGCCCTGCAAGCTCGGCTTGGGAGCAGCGCTCTGGGCTGTTTTGAGATTTGGAGACCTGTTTGAAGCGCCTTGCGTCTCGTGCCGCAAACCAGCCCCGAAAGCGCCTCTGCCTTTTTGCAATGCACAGGCCATGTACAGCAGGCCTTTGGTCACAGCCAATGTGACCTTCGGTCACTGTTCAGTTCGTAGGCCGTTGGGCTGTGGGCAGTCTCTTCTGCTGGCTGCTGGTGCCCTACTCTGATGGGGAACAAGGCACTAGAGAGTGCCTCAATGCTCCCCCCTTGCCACCACAGCTCCCGCCCAGAAGTTCGGGGCATGGAGGTCCCGAGATTGCACGCATGAGCGCATGTAACCACCCCGCAAATCTTCCAAGATGGGCCTGAGAGTTTACCCGCAATGCTCCTCATAGTCGGATTCCTCATCCGGGCGTTCCCGACATGAGTCTTCATTTCCAAGTGGATCGCCTTTTGATTATCGCCCCTGTTCTATGCTGCTTTCTGTGAAGGCCTGCGCCCTGAAGCCCCGACCGTTTTCCCGATCCTTGGTACAGTGACGATGGTGGGAACGGTAGTAGTAGTGATGATGATGATCCTGAACGTCCTGCCCTGGCTTCGTGCCACGTGGGTGGCGGCAGCTGTCTGCCCCCAGAGCAGCTGTGGCTCAATGGCCTGTGGCGCGTCGCGACTCCGCAAGCTGTGCGGACTTGAGTCCCTACCCTCCAACAGCCTTTTAACAGACTCCTCGGTTGCATTTCAGGGACGGTCGTGGTCGGGTCGAGGTCGACGTCGAAGGCATCTCTGACAGGTTGTGCAGAGCTATCCTTGCTCCCGGCGTTTCAGCGGAGTGCGCGTTCGTGCCGAGGCTTTTCCCGTCAGAAATCTGAGGGTAGTCGCGATGGGACACCTCAGGACTCAGGAGGATCCGCGCGGGATCCAGGTTCTGGGTAAGCCGCGGAGGTCTCGACAAGAACATCGTAACATCGGCCTATGGGTAGCATCCGCCGATACTGTCGTCTTCATGGCGAGACCGCCGCCCCGACATAAGGGTCAACCCAAGGCTTTCATGGCAACCAGGGGTGGTGCATGCTGGCCGGCCAGCGTCAGGAATGCATTATCCCGGCGCTTGTTTCAAGCGGGCTGCCTGCAGAGTATCAGCCCCTCTAGAAGTCCAGATTCATCGTGCCATTGCGAGACTTACTCATCGGGTTCTTTGGTCCAGCACCGCAGTGATACCTGCAATCACCCGCCCGCGCCCGATCTACGTTCGGCGCTGTGTTTTCAAGATGGGATGCTGCACTTCCGATGGGATGCGGAACGGGCGAAGATCTTGAATCCCATATCCTGAAGATGTCCTTCAGCGTCATGGATTGGCTAGGAGTCGCTCGATTTCAGATCGCATGCCGAGACCCTGACACCCCGAGATTTTCCACAGGAGGCCAGATTTAAGGTATGGGGGCGGAGAAGGTTTGCTCTGCAGGCATTCAGGGTCTGTTGTCAGGTTTCGTGTTCGACAGCGTCCGCCTGGAGCTTTAAGGCCTGCAACACCAGCCATCCGCCTCGGAATTTCAGCAGCCTTCACCGGGCACTGGGTGTGACAGCACGCCGCAGAGACAGCCAAGGAGCTTGTCCGGTGAGCAGCTCGGGGCCGGAGGCATTCCCCGAAATAGGCGAAGGCTAAAGCTTGGGGTCGAGTGCCGGGTATTGAAGGCAAGCTTTTACTGTCTTCGTGAGCTTTGTGGCACTGGCGCTTTGGCGCTGTCTTTCCATTTTGAGAGCCTTTGTAGAGTGAAGCCCCGAAAAGCCGCGAAAGAGTCTCCGGGCGCTCCGGGCGACGGAAGCCGGCTCGCAGGCTCGGAATGTTATGTGAGGCACGAGACCTCGATCTCAAAGGAGCCCTTGGGCACCCATGGAGTAAATCAAAGCTGCAGAGACTTTGAGACGACCACCAGAGGCCTAGAGGCCGGCAGTTTGCAAGAGGTTGTGTTCCTTCAAGAGTGCCATGCGTGCATCGTAAAGCAATCCATTCCGAAGAAAAGTGCTGTATTAGCTCCACCGCAGTATATTGAAAAAGTATTACGAAGCAATGGGAAGTACTTCACGTATTGCAATGTATCCCTGCGTCATGTAGCACAGCGTTGACACAACGGAATCATGGCCATTCCAAAGAAAACCTGCATACCTGCACGTAGGTAAAGACAACAGAATTGACTGCTGATCAAACACATGCCTGTACTCTTCGTGAGTCTGAATCCTTAGATTGTGACCGGTGGGCGGATCTCCAGGAAGATCTGGTGCCTTGCAGTCTTCTTTTTCCCAAATCTTGCGAGGCTACAGTACAAGTTTGTTGGTGTTGGTATCAGGGTTGATGTCTCTAGCATCCCGGAACGTGCAGGCTTCGGAGTCTATTATCCCGTACAGCTTTCTGCAAAGAAAGTCCGTCGGCTGAGGGGCCCACATAGGCTCTTCCAGAGTTGAGCTGCTGGAAGTGCTGCTTTTGGCTCTGCGAAGCATCCACAACGACATGGCTCCCATGAGCCTCACTCACGATCTTCCAGCCCAAAAAGGCAAGAAGTCCTCAAACACTGGCAGAGCTCTAGCCTTGAGCCTGCAGCCCCATGTGCATGATCCTGGTGGCCCCGGGGCCTCCCAAGCCAAGCTCCAGGATCCAACTCCGATCGCCGAAGCTCAAGCCACAACGGCCACAACGGATTGCGCGCCATGCCTGAGAGCGAGACCGAGCGGCTCCGCCTCGACCAGGAGGCGCGGGAGCGCCACTTGTCCGCAGGGCCTCAAGGGGCTGGGCAGCCAGGGCGGGTTGAACGGTTCTGCGTTTGGGGTTGTGGCATCAGAACGGTGGGAACTTGAAGGATTGCGGACCTGGGCTGAGAGTTGCAGAGTTCGGGTTTCATGCTTTTTACTGGAGCTTGCTGGCTTGAGTCCTGGGATTTACTAGTGCCTCAGGTGACGTGGCCTTCCGTGTGAGGAGGCGGCATGAATCAACATGCAGCTGAGGTATGGCGGCGCACATGCAGGTGCCCAGCGGGATTCAGGGTTGGGAGCAATTGATGGACAATCTGCGAGCTTCTGGTCAAGCGTTGAGGCCGTTCGGGATCGTGATCGTTCGGAACTACCAGGATTTCCTGAATTCTAAAGTGCTTCAAAGGCCTTGTGGCAGAGTTTGACTGCTCTCAGCTCAAGAGTCTTCTCTCGAAAGGCCGTGGAGGAGGCCGAAGCCAGGGGCGAGACGGGCGATCGAGGAGCCTGGAAGTGGAAGATTCGGCAGAGGCCGTCGGGTGGGGCAAACTTCGGCGGGAGGCCGGAGGCCGGAGAGATCCGGAGAGGCCCAGCCAGGCATTCTGGGGAAGGTTCCTGCCCTCTGCATCTGAGAGCGACGGGAGGATCTGGGATTACATGGAAGAAAACGACATCGCCGCCGCGCCGAGGTTGGCCTGGATTCTTTAGATTTCCTGGTTTCTTGTTGGAGCGTGTGGAAGTGGTGGGCAAACCGCTTGCGAGGCTCTGCCATTGAGATCCGGGGCTCGGGCTTCAGAGCATTGCGGACGTAGAACCTGAGTGCGTACCCCTCGTGGATACATGCAACAACAGACATCTGACATCTATCAATCAATCAATCAATCAATCTACTCTGTATCTACCTATCAATCTATCCGTCTGTCCGTCTATCTATCTTTCTGTCTATCTATTTACTCTGTATCTACCTATCCATCTGTCCGTCTGTCCGTCTATCTAACTATCTATCTATCTATCTACCTACCTGTCTGTCTGTCTGTCTGTCTGTCTGTCTGTCTGTCTGTCTGTCTGTCTAGCTATCTGTCTATTTATCTATCTATCTATCTATCTATCTATCTATCTCTCGCTCTCTCT